CATGAATCTTGTGGCTAATAGCTTATCTTGTTATTAGGTGATCTGTTAGAGAAGGACTGTGCTGTTTGCAAGGATGATTTTGAGGTTGCCCAAGAAACTATCCAACTCCCCTGCAAGCATCACTTCCACGATGAGTGTATCCTACCCTGGATCAAGCAGTCTGGAACATGCCCGGTTTGCCGTCACGAGCTTGTACCGCAACCCAAACATGCTCCTGGTGGCGCAGGGAACCCTGGTGCTGGTGCGGGGCCAAGCTCTGGCGGTGGTGCTAGCGCTGGTGGAGCACCAGGGGGCGGACTCTTCTCGTTCTTGCGAGGAGGCAGTTCAGGCTCGAGCAATACATCACAGCAGTCGGGGTCCCCCAACAATCATCTGCCAGGTGCTTGGGACCTAGACTGAGCGACATACGTCCAATCACGAATGAATCCATCTCCAGCCTTCTCAAATACCCCAATGCGCACGTGTCGCCCTTCCACTCTCCTTTGATGACCTCATCGGACTTCGCAATAGACGCTTGCGACCGTTCTTATCCCTCCCCTTCCTTGTGCATCCATGTCCTCGTCCCTTTTTGACGTCTCTTCGTTCCACTCTTGTACTTTATCAACGCTGCACTCCACGATCGACTGAAGCTTAATATTCGCCAACATCAATCCGCATCCATGCATCTAACATGACCTCCCGTGAATTAGTTTGAGGACATGAGGAAATGAAACATACAGTGGTAATAGATCTCTCTGTATTTAACATCAGGGTTGTGTCCTAATTAACTTGTAGTATTTGCAGCAGCACGGGCGGCAGCACGTTTTGCCATCTTCTCAATGTTCCTTTGTCCCTTGGCACCCGCCTTCCACCGTGCGTTGGCCTCCTCGATACTTCCCTGGCGCTCTCGTTCGAGCACTGGGACGTACTTTGTCTCATTCTGGATGGCCCCTCCACCCAGATGATAGCGTACGGGCCCCTTCGCCTCGGCCTCGGCCTGCGCTGTGGGTGTAAGGGAGAGTCCATTAGCCGCCTGCGCAAAGAGCGAGGAGATGGACGCTCGTATCGCGTCCCTCGCCCAGAACGTCTCCAGATCACGCGTCAAGCGACTCCCTTGTTGTTCTGGGCGAGCGTTCTCGTCTCCTCGCCACGAAATGTCGCCTTCGTGATACGCACAATCCCAAAGGATGAGCGGGAGGGCATCAGCCATGCGGTAGTTTGGCTTGGTGGAGACAAGTGGGAGGAGTGGATCAGGTGGGCTGGGAGCTGGTAAAGTGGAGGGGGAAGGGAGGGAGGATGCTGGGGGTGCTGTGGTTTCAGATGGGAGTGAGGCTGCGGGTCCGTCATCGGTGAGGGCCCGTCTTGAAGATGTGGAAGGAAGGACAGGAGGGGTAGATCCAGTCTGGAATAGCGCATCCACCAGGCTTGGTTGTTCGTAGCCTGATCCTACGAGGAATAATATCCCCATGATGTGCCGAACCTGGTGGTACAGGAACGCCGTACCGACAAGATCAAAAACATACAGCCCATTTTCTCCGGAGTCTTCTGATGATGCAGAGTAATGGTTCTGGAATGGGGTGATAGTGGCTCGTAAGATCGTGCGATAGAAGTTTTCTATCTGTTTGGTAGGATCCTGTTTGCAGAAGTTGCGGAAATCATGGTTCCCCTCAAGACGAGCCGCAGCATCTCTCATAGCATGAATATTTAGGGGAGGAGAGGATTGAGCGGAGAAAATGTATTTATAATGACGATATGCACAAGAGAAACGAGCGTCGAAGTCGTCGGCTATGGGCGACCATGCGAGGACACGAATGGTAGGGGGAAGGTTCTGATTGATAGAATGCACATAACGAAGCTCCTGTGGATCAACAGCACCAGTCTCGGCAGGAATGATCTGAGGGGTCTCTTCAACGAGAGAGGATGCGACGGGGGCATCTTCTGCTCCTGTCGCAACGAGTTCGTCATCAACTGGGTCAGAAGCAGCGGTTGCGTTCGCGATTTTTCGTTTCCCCAAATTGCTCCTCACCCAGAGCGACACGACTTGACCTGCTGCACTGACCCCACGATCTGTACGTCCGCAGCGAGACCAGCCACAGCCTTCCAGGCCAGCATCAGGATCAACAAGTCTTGCTTTCGCCAGCGCGCCGAAGAGAACCGATTCTACAGTGGGGAGAGGTGTGAATCCATCTTGGATAGCAAGGCCGCTATAGTCTGAGCCCCAGTAGCAAAATTTGATAGCGATCTTTCGTCGTGGATAGGAGGAGAAATCAAAGGGCTTCTGGTTTGATCGTTCAGGAGGGAATGGTGATATGCCGTGCTCCCGTTCTAATCGTGAAAGCCTCTCGATGAGTTGCTCGCGAGATAGGTGAGCATATGCTGCCATAAATGCCGACCTGCTTCTCTGAATGAGAGCAGCACACATCGGCAGCCGCGGCAAGCGCCTACTCAGCTCCGACTCGTATAGAGATAATCCCCTTGTTTCAGATTATCCCGTGTCCAAGGCCTAGCCTTATGTACCAGTGCCGTCATTTGTTCTGTGCATGCTCATGTCACTGCCGGTATGGCCCGTTACGTATGCACGAAGTTGACATTGTGTACATCACTCAAACCAACGAAAATGAGTCATGCATCCGACCCGGAAAGCCCGTATCAAAAGCGAGCATCGTATTTCAGGAACGATCGGGTGTTTCGACCGTTGCTCAATGCGTTCGAGACTGCCTTGGCCATCTTCGGACTGGTCGCGACAACATTTCTCCTTGCGATTATCTCCGAATTTGGCGATAAGGACTGCAGCTCTGTGAATCTATTTAAACTTTGAATAGGGTGATGCGAGGGAGGGTCACATTGCTTCCCTCTCCTCTCTTTCCTTCGATCTACCGCGACACAGTCCTTTCCATCGCAGCGAACTCTCTAGGATGGCCTCTATCTTCAACCTTTCTCGCCTACAGAACAAGACTGTCCTCATCACTGGGGCGTCTGGAGGTATGTTCCTCGCCGTTCGTGCTCGGCACTACATGCATTCTAACGATCGTACTCCCCACAGGAATCGGAGCTGTGAGTGTGTCAAACTCTATTACTTTCTTCAAGTCGACTGAACACCATCATCAATTCAGGCAACGGCTGTTCTCTTTGCACGTGTATGTCGATCTCATCGACTTGTCTGTGGCATCTACTGATCTTGCCCCACTATATTTCTAGGCTGGATCCAACGTCATTCTCACTGCACGACGGGTTGATGTCCTGAACAAAGTAGCCGAGGATTGTCGTAAGGCTCACGAGGAGGCCAAGTTCACCGCTGGAATTGGTGGAAAATTCGCCACCATCCCACTCGATGTGTCCGATCGCACTGCTGTCTCCAAGCTCTTTGATAGCGTCCCTAGCGATCTACGAGCGATCGATGTACTTGGTGAGTTGTATTACTTCTGTCTTCATGGAAAGTCGTTAACCCAGGCGCATTTGTGCATTCAGTGAACAACGCCGGGTTCGTCTATGGTGTCGAGAAGGTCGGCGACATCTCAGAGTCGGATATCGATGCCATGTTCGCAACGAATGTATTCGGTCTCATGAGCATGACTCAGCTTTTGGTGAGAGGTATGTGTAACGTTGCTAGCTGTCGGATCTGAACTAGCCGAAAATGGATCGCTGACCTTGTCTATACCATTTTACGGGCAACAGATTTCAAGGCTCGCAACACTGGGCATGTTATCAACATTGGCAGTGTTGCGGGGCGTGAACCTTATGCTGGCGGAGCCATCTACTGCGCTACCAAGCATGCCGTCCGGTCGTTTACTGGATCGTTGATGCGTGAAGTTGTCGACACTCCCATCCGTGTCACTGAAATTCAGCCTGGTATGTTGCTGCTGTAGTATTATATTGGGCTACTAACCTCGTGATATTCACCTCCCTCTTTTCGGATAGGCATGGTTGAAACTGGTCAGTTCCCTAGTTCGAGATATCACCTTTACGCGACATGCTGACCAACTTTGCGGATAGATTTCTCCATTACTCGCTACCGCGGTGACCAACAAGCAGCAGACAAGGTGTATACAGGCCTAGAGCCCTGTAAGTATCACTGGTCATAGTCGTTCCCTGTCCTTCGGTGTTTGCCTGACCCCACCATTCCTCTTCAGTGGTTGCCATTGACATCGCCGAAGAGATCGTTTGGGCTGCTTCACGGCCACCGCACGTCAACATTGCGGAGTTGTATGTCCTGCCTGTGAACCAGGCTAGCCCTGGCACCGTCTATCGCGCCCCAAAGGCCTAGTTCGGTGGCTCCCAGCATCTTCCGTGTCTATTGTTGTATATAGTGAATATGCAAGGTTATATTGCACTATAGAGAAGAAGAGTCCCGATTTACTATCTTCCTTCCTCATCGTTCGACCAAACATCATCAATGAGCTCACAATTGGACGGAATGGCTTCATTTCGGAACGTCTTTGTGAAGAAGTGAAGAGCGGCGACTGGGAGCCCATCCAAAGGTCCTGGCAGCGCCATGCAGCGGCCGAGCGAAGATGTTCTTGCATATATGACGGGGGTGGGATTTGAACCTATATTGGATAGAATGCGACGTGATGTTCAATGGTGCCGGTTTGTGGGTTCAAATCCCACTCTCGTCTGGCGCATCCTTGGTTTGACGCGCTGTCAGCAAAACTCAACCATCGCTACACTGCAATGCGCTCCCGAGTCTGGCTGGTGAGCAACACACCGTGAGTTAGGTAGCCACTTCTGTTGATGTTCTATGTGGGGACTGGCTAAGAGACTCCATTCCATGCATATATAGTGATCTAGTTGAGGTTCTCCTTTCTTGGTGGCTAGTAGGGATAATTCCTCAATGAGCGCGGACTCTGCACAAACCTCCGGAGCTGGCGATGAGTACTGCAAAAAGTATCGTTTGGGAGGACGGAAAAGCGGTAGAGAATGCATAATGGTGATAAATTAAGCCGTATAGCGCCCCGGGGCGGCCAAAACGTCTTTCCAAGGCGTAACCAGTTGATCCACGGCGAATACGCGCAAAAAATGACTGACGGAGGTGGGATTTGAACCCACGAACCGAGGACTAGTGTCAGGATTGTTTAAATCCCTGCTGGGACCTAAAACTAGCGCGTTTGACCACTTCGCTACCCCGCCAAGATCTGATAGAGGAGGAGAGTGAGGTATATTGATTGACCAGTTGATTGGTCACCCAAGGAAGGTGTATTATACCGCAAAGCTTCTAAAACCTTATATAGAACTTATCCGGCTCATTTTGAACCTTTGAGTATTGTAATCCCTTGGATTCATGGGAGAGTGATGAAGTTGCCGGGGTTGGTGGCTGAAGATACGTGACGTCACGCCACAACGTGGCGATGTCACGCCGTGTACTCTCGCTCCCTCTACACTTTCATCTTCCAATAATCCACGCCAAAAACTCTTCCATCGACTGTAATACACTTCTTTGAAGCCATGGATTACTTCAACCGGACCATCATCAGCATCCTCACTGCAGGACCCATCCCTCAGCACATCTCCTTTATCATGGATGGGAATCGTAGGTACGCGAGACAGCGCAATCAAGAAGCACAGATGGGTCACTACGCTGGTTTTGAATCCCTCAAAAAAGTGGGTATGTCGATGCAATTACTGAAGTCACTTGTGGCGATGTACTTGTATAAGTGCTGTACCTCTTACACCATTCACTTCTAATCCACAGACACTTGAAGTATGTCTTCGCCTCGGAGTCAAATGTGTATCGGTATACGCATTTTCCATCGAAAACTTCAAGCGGCCCCCCGTAGAGGTTAATACTCTCATGGGGCTGGCTAAAACAAAACTCAAGGACATATGTCAGGAAGGGTGAGCATTCATATACAATTTAGATTTCGTCTCTTTCTCACTCAATTTCCTGGTTTGATCATCAGAGAACTCTTGTCACAGTACTCTGTACGATTGAACGTCATCGGACGGCGAGAACTTCTGCCGGAGGACGTTCAAGAAGCGATCCGCGAGTGTGAAGACCTGACTAGAAATAATGACAAGTAAGCATCTACACCTTTGATGCCCATTCCGCGGTCACTGAAAACCGCTACCCATAGGGCTATTCTCAACATTCTGATGCCTTATACGTCACGGGATGAAATGTTGAGGGCTGTCGACCAAACAATCGACGAACATAATGAAAAGGATGAATTTGAAGCAGAGTCGGTGTTTCGTTTGTCCCCATATATTATATAGAAGTATTCACACTCCTGTTTCCCTCTATCCCTAGTGAGATCACAGCAGAGGACATTGCGAACAACCTTGAGATGAAGCAGAAAGGCAGCCCACCGCTGGATATGTACATCCGAACAAGCGGTGTAAAGCGATTTAGTGACTATCTTTTATGGCAGGTAAGGTCGGAGGGCATCTTTCGCGCCAATAAGATCCCTTTTCCCCTGATCTCCGCTGACCGACATTACTCGTGTAATAGCTGGATGAGAACACACAGATATACTTTACCTCAGTATACTGGCCCGACTTTGGGTTATGGGATTTCGTCCCCATGCTCTTTGACTATCAACGCAAAGTGTGGTCGGGTGCTCTTGGGCCTCGCCGGCAAGCTCTTGCCGCTAATGCTCCGCCATCTACAAGCACCTAGCCGCGTGCATTCGCATCATGCTATCTTCGATTTCTCCGAGAACGATTATAATTGTTACGCCAAGCCGATCTGTAATTTCTAGCAGTCATCAAGTTTTCGCAGAAAAACAAAATTGCAATTTGACAATCATTAATAGTGTGAGGATTGAACAGTGTACCGAGCATGAGCATCGGGGCTTGTGGGAAATTAGCACTACAAAAGAAGAGAGACATGGAAGAAAAAAAAAGCCACATGGTTTACAAGCGAGAATTTTTGTTAACAGACCTGGGATTGGGCCTCCTTTGATCCCCCAGGAGCACTTGGAGCCGCACCTTGTATGCACGGGCCAAGGGCTCGCCGACGAGAGATAGACAAGGCACGAACTACTAAGGTCAAGAAGAGGAGAAAAAAAGCGATAATAGTGCTGCGAGCGAGGAGTTGAAAACATATGAAGAGGGAGACATGTTGGGGTGGGGGGCTAGGCGGGTATACGATCACAGATATGGAGACAGCGAGGGTGATGGCGAGAACACTTGGAATAACAGTAGAGCAAAATGCAAGAAAACATAGATGGTGCGAGGAACAGAAATGATGTAATGAGTCGCAAGATAATGTGTGGTTGTCACCTTCTCAACAAGAATACCCCCCCAGAAAGAAACAGTGGCAGGGCAAGGAACACAGCGAGCGGGGCCAGCGCAGAATGATACATCGACACTGAACAAAGGCAGCAGATCATTCTACAATCTCGAACCGGCTCTTCTTGGATGAGCCGGGGTCGACATCATCCTCTCTCTGGCGCTTCGTGCCATTGGTTGGGCTATTAGCAGCCCCAACACCAACCGCCGTCGGCTGGGCGGCAGCATTCCCAGCCCCATTCACGACGCCCATTGGATCTCCAGCGGGCGTACTCAACATGGACGGCCCACCAAACGAGGTGAGCATCGAATCGCCTGGGCCACCCAACATGGTATCGTTGAGTATGCTCGGGTCAAATTCGAGAGCATCAAGCGCATCACCGCTTGTGCCCAGCAGATTCTGCAATAGAGTTGGATACTGGTCCATGTTCAGCCCGAGGCCGTGCAGAGGGTTGATAAGTCCTCCGCCTCCCCCCGAAGACCCCCCGTTGCCATTCGCCGACCCACCGCCAGGCGAGCTAAACGATCCACCAATGTTAAGGAGGAAATTGTGTTGCGCATCAGCGGGCATGATCTGTGAGAAGTTGGACGAGTCAAGCAGGTGATGGGTAGCATCTGATGGGGCGGAGGACCCATCCCCGTTAGTGAGCTGCAAGGGGGCATTTGGATCGTGTACACCAGCGGTCAGCAAAGAAGGACTTGGGGTGGCGTCCCCGAAACTGAAGCCTGCAGGAAGGGTGATCCCATCTGCAATAGACCGCGGGATGCTCGAGGTGAATTGCTTCAACTGTTTCAAATGTACGAGATGTTTCTAGAAAAGAAATGGAGACAACATTCCATGAGATAGAGATTCGGCGGAGAACGTAAATAGGGGGAAATGAATTTCGCATACCTCCAGGATTCTTATCAAGCCATCACGCGTGAACGGTTTAGGCAAGATGTCGTTCATGCCTGCAAAGGGGAAATTATCAGGATCTGCAGAAACGAGCGGGCATGGTGGCAAGAAATATAGGGTAACATACCGCTCGAATAGTATGTCAGTAGCTCAGATGGCTTCGAGTTACTTGTCATCGAAATGATGGGTGTCATCGGGTCGAAACGACGAATCATACTCGTAGCACTAACGCCATCCAGCTTGGGCATGACGATGTCCTAAATCAGAAGAGACGTCAGAAGAGATTCAGAATCTCGGCGGGACAGGAAACCAGAATGGAAAAATGTCTCACCATCAATACAAGATCGTATTTCTCGAGCTCCATCTTGCTCACGGCGCCCAGGCCATCAACAGCGACGTCGATCTGGCATCCACTGACCTGTAAGAACTTACTTGACAGGCGTCGACTGACCAGATCATCCTCGACGAGGAGCACACGTGGAGGGACCGCCCACCCAGGCACATAAGTCGCCCTGCGCACGCGCAGCTTGGACCCCGTCGTCGGGCTCGTGCTGGATCTTGGAGACGTTGACTTTCCTCCAATGGACGCTGATGAGGTCGTCCGGGAAAGTGGAGGAGGTACAGGGCCAGGGACCAACGTCGGAGGCACAGTGAGATCTGTCGAGGATTCGGCGGACGCCAGTACTGCCTCAAGCTCGGCACCACCTAATGATGCTGATGACGATAATCTCGGCAGCCCAGGACGATGGGAGGACGAGGGGGGCAGCTGAGCGATCGAGGAGGATACGCCTCCGCCCGGTAACTGGGGCCAGTTTGACGATCCATTCGCTTCGGCCAACGGACGAGGGACGAGATGCCCCACCGTCAGCACAGACAGACCACGATGCTCGGCATCAGAAGGAGGGAACTGGAAGGGTTGCATTCCACTCATAGGCCCTGGTGCCATTGCCCCTGCTCCTGGCGCTACAGCGATGGGAGTGGGTCGCGAGGGATGATACATCCCTGGCGGGGTAGTTGTCGTCGCGACGGGTGACGAAGTAGCTGAGCGCAGCGTAGGCGTCTTCAGCCCCGCTCCAATGGGGATCCTGTTGTGCATACCACCAGAGCCTGGTGTGCGCAAGCCACTGTTCGAGTGCTGGCTCGCATACACACGAGGATCATCATCTTCGTCCATAGCATCCTCGTCCTCGTCGTCGTCATCATCATCATCCTCGTCACCAGAGGATCCCGACTCTGGTTCTTCAGCCTTGACACCATTCTGCTTGCGCATCTTTACACCACCACCGCCTTTCCGTTCTTTCTTTTTCATTGTGTTCTTACCCCTCCCATGATGGTGCATAGCGTTCGCCGCCATGGACGAGGCTGCACCTAGGTCGGAGGAAGTGACACGAGCGAGATCCTGCAACCGCTGGAGGGCCACTTCGCGTGTCATGCCCACTAGGACGGGCTTTGGCTCTGAGAGCGGCACGCTCTGGGCGGACGGTGGGGCAGGAGGCTGGTCAGCCGCTCCTGGGGGTGCCATAACCCCACCGACAGAACCAGGCACAGGACCAGCAGTTTGCGGGGGATGCGAGGAAGGAGGGGCTACATTAAACCTCATGCCCGCAAGGTGTGCACGCTCGCTCATCAGGTTCATCCGATTGAGCGTGATGGCAGCGAGCGCGTTGGGCTGGCCGTTCGACATGACACTTGTCGCAGGAGGTGCTCCAGTAGCTACACTACCATTGCTGCCGGCGCTTGATCCTGATCCAGAGTCTGGTCCACTCCGTGTGAATACAAGGCCTTTGCCAGGATGAAACGAGCTGGTGAGCGTAGCTTGTCCACCCTGGTAGGGCGTGATGTAGGACGGTGCGACGATCTTGGCAGCGTCCGAGGTGTGGAGGAAGGATGAATCAAAAGCGGTGGAATGATTCGCAACTGGTGGGACAGCGTTCGTCCCGTTCATGGACGGTGGAGGCATAGAGACGGGAGGGGGCTGTGAGAGTACTGGGTTTGCTACTGGAAG